AGGTCGCATTCACACCTGCATCTATAGTCCGGTTGAATCGAACCCTGGTGCGTTTAGCCGCTTGGTGCGGTTCATTTGGGTCGGTGTGAACGCAGTCCGAGACCTCTGAAGTGAACTAAACCAGGGGTTCCCAAACTTTTCAGCCCGCGACCCCCAAAATAACAGTGCCAGAGACTGGCGACCCCCTGTCGACGGACGGACGGACGGTCCATGAGTGTTGTTTATTGGTTAAGTGGTCCTTGGTATGTAAAAAGTTTGAGAAACACTGCGCTCTTTGCGGGGAAATTATACAGATGGCTAGTCCTTCCCTGAAAATGTCTATGCAAACTTTATTATTAATAATCTTTTTATTTTTATTTTGTAATCATCTCGCGACCCCCACTCGGGGTCTCGCGACCCCAACTTTGGGAACCCCTGAACTAAACAATCGGACTCTGGTCCGCTAAAATAGGTGGTCTCGGAGCATTTGCTAGCGAACTCTGGAGCGGTTCATTGCTGGTGTGAACGCAGTCCGCACCAAAACATAGGAAGCGTAGTATTTACGTGTCACAAGAACGCGGATATCTTCAAAATCTTTAGCGAAAGAGTCTTTCAAGACATCTGCGTTGTTTAGTTAAAGAGTGAAGCAGAATTAAGTGTTGAACAGTGTCGTGTAAAGTAAAAATTCTCCGTCAGCTACATAAAAGTAAGAACACCTGTCGTCGGTGAAACGCCCCTCCTTACTGCAGAACGTCTCTCATTATATGTGTTATAATGTTTTTTAACGGACGTTGTCTGATTATATAATCATATGCGCGGGCCGCTAGTGTCTGTTGATCTCCAGATTAACAGCAACATGAGAATAACCTGCCGAAAGTGCCGATGCTCCATGGCGGAGGCTCCGGTAGAAATTGCCGGGATTTGCGTTTTTACCCCCTTAATGTCTGACCAATGGTTGAACAGCATTTCCGAGCACATGACTTGTCTTTAAAGTTTATAGTCCGTTTGAGTTCTGCCCGTGTGAACGCAAACCGAACCTTCTGAAAAATGAAACAATGCAACAAACTGTGTGTACCAGAGAGCGGACTATTAGTTGTGAATGCACCCTAATGGTGCTTTTGAATTGATCCAGAATGCAGTAAAAATGTTTAATTATATTGATTATCCTCCCTATATACAGGCAATGTCTGTCGAGTTACAACAATAATGTTCTATATAACGCTTTTTCTGGTTGTTAGAAATGTGGTGTTTTTAATATCCATGTGTGTATTCGGATCTATGTGTGTTATAAAATGTAAATAATAAAACCCACACATCTGTTTCCTCTCCTAAGCACTAACTGAGTGTGTTTCCTTGTTCCTCAGCTGGCTCTGGATCCCTGCAGGGCCCCCAGACTCCTCAGTCCACCAGCAGCTCCATGGCAGAGGGGGGAGACCTGAAGCCCCCCACCCCCGCCTCCACCCCCCAGCTGCCTCCAATGCCCGGAGCCAGGTACCATATATTATATATAGTGTTTCTGGGATATCAGGAGTCATCAGATTGAAATTAAAGTGATCCGTGCTGCAGGAAATAATAAAATACAACAAACAGGAAAACAGTGGTGTAGTGGAAAGGAGTTAAAATACACACACAACTAAAAAGAGTGTTAATACGTGTAAATGATTGAGTAATAATTGAGAATAAAAAACAGATTTATTCTTTGTTTTTTACAAAGAAGTGAGGCATATTTGAAGATAACAAAACATGGTATTGCCTATGATACTTTTATACACTGTAGAAAAAAAGACGTAGGACACAAGAGCACTCTTCAAAAAATAAATTAGATGGAAATAAATAGAACATTTGAAATGCAATCATAAATACATAATTATTAAAAACACTAATAATTATAATAAATACAATAATTCAAAAAACTAATTGTAGTAGTAATAATTTCCACAATAATAGTTAAAAAAATGCTTTAAAGGTGGGGAAGGTAAGTTTGAGAAACCGGCTCGAGATACACGTGTTGTTATATTCCATGTAATGCTCTTAACATCCCGATAGCAATGAATATCTTAAGTGCTTTGACAAATCCATAAAAACATGTCGTCTGTGGAAGCCGTGGCGCTGTAAAAAGCATGACCAATCATCTGAGCCGGCCCGGCTAAATTAACTGGATGGCCTACCTGCCTGTCAGCCTTCCATCTGTGCACAAACTTATCTCGTGCCCTCATTGGGGCTCTGTAAAGAAGTGGCAGATTTTTTCCGGCTGTGTATTTTCAAATTCTAGCGCACTCGAGCTGGTTTCTCCAAAATTACCTACCCTACCTTTAAATTAAGTATTTGTGGCTAAACGGCTATAATAAATACAATAAGTAATTGTATTTTTCTTAAAAAGAACTGTAGAATATACACAGTAAATATTTCCCACATAGTATTTATATCTCTAAATACAGTTGATTGCGGTGCATAACTATTTATATTAATAAGTAGATTGCAAGATGACAAACAGTTGAATGTTTGGGGTACTTTACTTTTAGTCTGGTGGTTTTTGTGTGTGTACAAGAAGTAAAATCATGTCTGTATTCCTCCTCTCTCTTTTTAGGAGTAGTGTGAGTCTGCAGGACCCTTTTGCTGACGGAGGAGACCCCGCTTTCTCCAGGAGAAACGCTCTGACCCCCAATTCACAGGGCTATCAACCCGGCATGGGGGGCCCCGAGATGATCGCTCGAATGGGCCCCTACGAAACAAACAAAGACCCCTTTGGTGGTATGAGGAAAGGTGAGCGACACCTAAAGCAGAACAAATAAAACACTATGAAATTCTGTCGACTGGAAAATCACACATTTTATATTCATGTATATTTTTGATATATTTAAGACATTTTGGATTATTTCTAGTCTTTTAATTTCTACAATGCCTGTACGCTGCTGCAACGCAAACATTTCCAAAATTAGGATCAATAAAGTACCTCTTATCTTATCTTACTTTACTCGCACTTGGATTAGGACTTCTCTTTGTGTTTTTAGTTTTCTTTCTGCTGTTTCTGATTCTGTGTAAAGTGTCTTTGAGCACTGGGAAAAGCGCTGTCAAAATGAAATGTATTATAATCTGTGATTTGTTCCCCTTGTTTTCAGCTGGAGAGCAGTTCATGCAGCCGGGGCCCAACAGTGGGATGGGAGAGCAGTATAACAGAGGCCCCCCAGGACCAATGGGGAACATGCAGATGGGCCAGAGACAACAGTACCCTTATGGATATGACAGAAGGTAAAGAATCTGAGTTATTGGCATTATTAATCAGAGATGGCAAAAGTACACACATCCTTTACTCAAGTAGAATTACAGATACTCGTGTTTAAATATACTCTGGTGAAAGTAGAAGTACTGACTAAACTTCTTTACTCAAGTAAAAGTAAAGAGGCTTTGAAATGTACTTCAGTAAAAAGTACCCATAACTAGCAGCTGTTTTAAAGAGTACCTGACCTCCCTTTATATTAATAGAACAATAATGTCATTGTTAGCTAATGAATGTTTCCATGCTGAACAACGGCAACATGACAACGTTTTCATTGGTCCCTCTTCTTTAGAGAAGACCAGGAAATGATGGATACACGGATCGTGTTC